AAAAAAAAAAAAAATTAATGTTGGCGGGAGCGAACCCCAGCCGTCGGCGTGGTAGGCAAGCACGTTACCGATAGGACAACGCGCTCATCCTGTAAATATAAATTCATTAGTGGTATATCTTCAACATATTGAATAATTTTTTTCATTGAAATTCCACAAGATGTGGTTTCCCCCTTCCGGACGTTCTACAGTCGGCTAAATTTCAGTTAAACAAATAAGAAATAAAAAGCATTCATAGCGCAGAAAATGAAATTCACCCCGTCGACTTGATGGACACCCCAGCATTGCGGGTTGCGCCCTCTCTGTTGGGATGAGGTACTCCGATGCCGGTGGGGCCACTCAACCCCTTCACTTTAGTCAATCCTCTTTGGAACATACTGTATGTTCACGGTTCCAGTGTCTGTAAAATTTTTAAAACTCGAAAAAAATGAATTAAACAATGACCCCATCACAGTAAAATAATTCTTCGGACTAAAATCTTCTTAGGATATCAAAGAATAATTGTAAGTACCTCATCCCTTCAAAAATCAATCTCTCAAAAAGCCAGAAAATATTTTCAAAAAAATTTTGAAACTTTCAATTGAAATGAACTCAAATTACAATTTTTCATAATTAATTCCCTTTTTTCCAGAGCGAATGAAGAAATGATTAAACTCCTGAGATTCATCACTCTCCAAATAAGTAAGAATGGAGTGAATAATCCTCGGTGCGAACGAATTCCTAGTGTTTTGAGGACATCGTACCGTCATGGAAGCTTCACCAAACTTCCTGGAAAGGTAATAAGCCCCAAAAGCGAGACAGCTCTTCGAAAAAAAGACAAACTTGCCCCAACCTTCGAGCTAATCTACAGAAGTAACCTGACGAGCTACGTAATCTGGCTCTACCCATTATCCATAACGTCCTACATCCTCGTGGGATTCGCCTACTACTACTTCAAAATTCACCTGCAAGATGTGTCGTTTCCAATCAAGTCAGTAGCTGCTCCCGTGGGTTACAACAAACGTCATGAAGTGGACGTAACGTTTATTTTTTATCTCGCAATGAATACATTCACGTTGTACATACTCAGAAGAATCCCCATGCGGATATGGCTAGACAATTTCAAGAAGGAGTACCGAATGATTCTAATAGGAAACAATCAATCTTTAAAGAGACAGATTGCGTTCCAGCCTGGAGAAGTCACGAGAAACTACATATTCCCCAGCAATAGTTTCCAGGAGATGATGCATCGGTATCGAAAAAAATTGTATTTTATTTCTTCTGTAGATTTCAGATCACCTGTTGACTATAACCAGATGACTGGGTACAGTCCTAACTTGACAGATTGATGTAGATTAAATTGAGGGAATAAATCCATCTCTCTTATAATTTTACGTGATGCAAAATCCGTCCAAAGAAAAAATTCATCCCAGCAAATTTTTCCGACTAGAAAATCCGAATGAATTGAATGCATTGAAATTTTATTTTTCGATCGACCTAAAAAAAAGGCCCTCCTTTCATCCCAATTTCAATTGAAATGTTATTTAATCTGGCAGATGGATTTCTAGAGCAACCATCAAATTGCTAGTGCTCCCAGCAATCAAGGAATTGAATCCTAGCATCGATTCCCCCACAACTGACGTAATAAAAATAATCTCGTATCTCAAAATTTCTCGATCTATTATTTTATTGAAAAAATTTACATTGATATACTCTCACATCGACCGAATGTACAATTTATCGTAATCGAGTCCTTCGTTACGATTTGGGAAGTGCAGAGTACTTGCATATGGATTCGTAGGGTAATTTTTTGAGATACCTCTCGTCCCTCAGGAGTTCAACATCGACGCTATATTCCTCGACCCGAACTTTTTTTATAATTCCCTTGGATCCTTTGTACTTCCCTTGTATAATCAGAACTTCCCTCCCAATAGCTGGTATTACCGTTTCCAAATGCTCCTGGTCCAGTTTTACAACATGCCCCTCGACCTCCTCCGGTGAAGTTAATTTAATTTTTCCTACGTAACCAGCTTCGAGTACTGGTGATTGAACGATTCCTTTTGCTTTATAATATTTTTGACCCAGAGTTTTCGTTATGATCTTCACGACCAGTCCCTCCTGGAGCCACCCACCTGCAGAAATAAATGAAAAACAATTTAAAATTTCCAATTAATTATTTTTTACATTAATAACAATTAATTTCTGGATACGCACTAGATGTGGACTGTCCTTGAGAACTCTCGGAGTCTCTCCTCTCTCGTTTGACTTTCGAGGAGGAGGAGTCATCAGTCCTATGGGGCCTCTTGACACTTATTTCAGATCTGCACTCACTGGGGGCCCGACTTTGCCTGTCGGATTCATCCTCAGACTGTGGCTCCTCTTTAATTCTCAAGTCTCTGGAAGATTCTCCTCTCCTAGGAGCTGGTGCCAAAGGAGGTCCCATGAGTTTTGGCTTGACCTTGAGCTTGAGATCGAGAACAAGAGGCCCATCATCTTCGCACCGCTGGAGAGGGACTGGCGTGTCCTCCAGTGCCTCCACAGCTTCCTGACGTCCCTGCTCCACTTGTTTCTCGATGAAATCCATCATTCGCTCCTCATCATCCTTGTCCATCTTCTCCTTTTTTGCCTTCTTCTCCTGGAGTGCAAGGGTCTCTGGGTCACGATCTATGTACGTCACGAACCATCCCTTTTCAGTCTCATCAACAACACATTTTCCTGTTCTTCCTAGCCACTTGACGAAAGCAGTGAGACTCAGCCAAATTGTAGCGTTCATGTGCACATGACCTCTGTCCGCTATGTAATCCTGATAAACTCTGTTGGCAGGCACTCGTCGTGTACCAAATTGTCTCTTCAACAGGTGCAAGTAACCATGCGAGAACTCCTGGGAGAATTGATCCATGTACTTGTGCGCATTGTCAGCAAATAGCAGTAATTGCCTGTGATGAGACTCTGACATCGTGTGACACTTGAATCCATTCTCATCTCGACACTGTTTCTCACACATCTGACAGTACCATCGCAACTTCTGGAGACCCTTCGACTTGATCTTGTTAGCAATATATTTCGGAGTTCCAGGCTCATGTTTCCCCATTTTTCAGCTTCACAGAATTCAGTCAGTGATAATGAAAATCCGATATATATACGAAAAATATGGAAATACCGATATATCCAGGAATATAAATTCCAAATTGTGACAGAAATATTAATTGTTGACAGTTAGAGGTTAGACCTGCGACCTGATGATGCCATAAAAAACGTCAGTCCAGGGAATTCCACAGGAAATGTGTAGATTGTCAGGAGCAAATGATGGAATTATCTTTTTGGTGATTGTCTCTGGAGAGTGAGTTCGAGGAATTGACGTTTTTCAATGTCGTTCGACGTACGTAGTAAACAACGTTGTATATAGGTTGAACTAACCCAACCCGAGGTGAATTTCAGGTGATAAAACCAGCGCAGCGACACTCGGTTTGATGATGGACATTTAGTTCATTTTCGTTGTGACAAATTCTCGTTATCCAGTGAATAATACAATACTTTTATTAATTACGTCATCTAGCACCAGTGCGAGTCGATTATTGCTGTAAAAATAAGACGAATTGTCATTTTTTTCTAGTTTTACGATGAAGTGGTTTCCTGGAAGTATCAATGAAGCAGTGGCGGCTTCAAAGTCAAGGAAAGCTGTTTTTGTCGTTTTCGTGGCAGGTATGACAATTTATCGAGGTTAGAGTAATCTTTGGAGCTGTACAATTACGATATCTTGGTAGATATTCATCTTTTGGGAATTATTTTTTCGTTTTTCTGAATCAGAGTCTCATGCCCACGGGTTTTAACGCGAAAATCAATGGGAAATAAAATTTTTTTTTTTCGGTTTTCACTTTCTGCATGTCATCCTTAATTCCCCGGCCTTGACCCATTTTCTGCAATGGATTCGCAATTTATTTCTTTATTCGAGGATTTTTGGCTGTTTTTCACCTCTTCTTGTAGTTCACCTTCCACTCAGTCAATTTTCGTTCAACTTTTTTATTATTGAGCTCCGCTTGTAACGAGGAAAAATTGTAACAGGTCTGGACAATTGCGTTTTGTTATTTAAAAAATAGGAAAAGATGATGCATCGACGGAAACAGCTGGGATAATTGATTCCCCTGAGATATCATCTCGCCTGGAGCACGAAAATTTCGTAGCAATCAGACTTGAGAGTGACACGGACTCGTACAGATTCTTTGCCCAGATTTATCAGCTGGTGCCGATTCCATCGCTTTTCTTCATCGGGGATAATGGAAGTCCCCTGGAGATTGTGGCTGGCACTGTCAATGCTCAGACTCTTCATGAGAAAATTGATGCCGTTCTCCAGAAAGCCAGCAAGGGAAAGAACGAGATATCCGGTGATTTCATCAGGGGTGAGCAGAGTGCGTCTGCAGCAGGACAGAGTGTCCCAGCATCCAGTTCTGCTGGGGTTGTCTCACCACAAGTTCAGAGGAATGAAGGGGCCTCTGGATCCTCCGGGGAAACCCCAGGGCTGACACCCCTGGAGAAAAAACCAGCTGAATTAACCCCTGAGGTAGCAAAATTGGTGTTGTGACGAAATGATTAATATAATTTTTTTTATCCACTTGTTTTTATTGGAATTGAATTTCTTTCGTTGGCACTCGTAGGAGAAAGTTGAACGCGCCAGACAACTGATTGAACTCCAGAAGCAGCAGAGAATCGAGAAAGAACGTGAGGAGGAGAGGCAACGTGAGATCGAACGCAGGAGAGTTGGAAAAGATGCGCAGACAGCCAGACAACGTCACCAGGAGTTGGAGATAAAAATGGCACAGGAGGAGAGGGCGAAGGAGAAAGCAGCTGAGTCAGAGGCCAGGGAGCGGGTCAGGCAGCAAATTGCTCAGGATAAAGTGGAGAGGAAGCAGAGAGAACAGACACTACTTGTTAGCCCCTATTTATCCTCATAATCAATTCCATATAAATATCTTCAAAGTGAGACTTAATAATTTTTTTTACAGCAGCAGAATTCACAGCAGTCTCAGGATCGTCCCCAGCAGCCGGCAGCACCTCCTGCAGATGGTGTCGTCAGGATCCAGTTCAGACTGCCCTCTGGCAACCCCCACATGGGCAAATTCGAACTGACGAGTACACTTCGTGATCTCCGTGCATATGTTACCAGCAATATTGATTTACCATTCCGTAATTTCACAATGTCTACGTCCTTCCCGAGGAGGGATCTCAGCGCTGAGGACGATGGAAGGACACTGGTGGATTTGCAATTGGTCCCGACAGCTGTTATCCTAATTCTGCCTCTCAAAAATTCAACAACAACTTCAGCTGTGGCATCCAGGGAGGAGGGGAGCTTCCTCTCTCGTTTCATGTGGACAGTTTTTTCACCGATAATTTCTGTCTTCAATTATGTGGTGAGCTACTTCACTGGTCCATCAACCAGTGGATCCAGCAGAGAGGGAAATGATGAGGCAAGTCCAGCAGGAGTTGCACCACGTGCCACACCTACTCGTCAAATTGGTCAACCATCTGGGTAAGGTTCTGCTCATCCCTCGAGCTAACCCAAAGCCATTTGTTATCTGTTTCGAGGTGAGCATCTCTTCTACTAGAGATGTAGAGTGAACGACTTTTTTATTCATTGTTTTCAAGGCTCTTCACTTATACCTGAATTATCTCTCATTTTTTTTTATTCCCGTTTCAATTTTGTTTGGCAATTATTTCTGTGGGGTAATTCGGGGTAAAATAAATCCCTTTTGCAGTCTCTTTGGCAGGAATTTGGGAGGCCCCAGCACGACCATCAGAGCCCGGGGAAATATCCACAGGCTCTACACTGGGGGCGATGATAATGATGAAAACAACACGTGGAATGGAAATTCAACGCAACAGATGTAAAAATTGATCATGATTATTACTGATACTTTAATTAATTTTTTTTTCAATCAACGAGAAATCAGAAGAAAAACGAAATTCTGCCACTTTTCCATTCTAGGATATTTCCGTACCTTTGAAATTTCAGAATTCATTATTCAATGTTGCACATGAAAAATTCAATCATACCTGAATGTTCATAAATTTTTCAACAAAAACGTATGAAATAATTATTGCTTTGGTCATAAAGATTTCGAGGATGGAGTAATGGAGAGAAATTTTATTCGATGTGATTTTCGTAATCGATAATTTTTCCAGCAAAATTATTGTTTATTTTGGAATTGTAGAAAAAACAATTATTAAGTTAAACGCAATGATGAAGGATTAATCTGTACTTGATTGTTGTAGTTGTAATAAATTGTGATTATTTAATCGATGGCATTGTTGTTCACTTTCCCGTCGTGATTTCAACTTTTCTTCATGACGCAAAAAAATTTCAATTGAAAATAAAAAAAAATATATATTTCACCCCAACCCCAGGAATTGATCTCTGAGATTTTAGGGGCGGGATCGCCGATTATTTATTTTCCAAGTTTCTACATAATTTTTGGCTTTATTATTTTTATTTTTTATTTAAAATTCACCGGTGATTTGAAATTGCGACAGGAAAATTTAAAATAGAGGAGTTCCCCGCCTATCATAAAACCTCCGACGCATCTTTTACGAAACATTACACTGATTTATGAGGATTTCCCGTGGAAAATCGGTTGCCTCCAATTATCCCCGAACATTTGACGAATTCAACTAATTTGTCACCTTTCATCTCGTTTGGACTTTGAAATCTCCGAAAATTGATGTCAAAGTGGACCTCGGGTCGACCCAAATATTTTTTTTCTCACCCATCCAAACCGCATTCATTAACAATAATAAATGATATAATTTTTTAATTAATCACTTTTTAAACCCTGAAGTGAATGAAAATAATTTAAACATACGCCTAATTTGAAGTGAATAAATTTTTTAATGCAATTAAATTATTCTCTTTTAATTAACGAAGCCGATGGAGTTCCAGTGATTTCAAAAATCATCGATTGGCGGGAGAGGGGAGGAATTTGAAATGATTTGTAATTTTTTTCTGGGTGCAGGTGAATTATTTATTTAATCTTCTCATCATATCGTCAGCTGCAAATGAATCCACGTGCTACTGCCAAGTTCCGCCCAGATGGTGATTCCATTGGTCCAGAGATGGGACTCGTCATTGGCACGTGGGTTTTTGGCGGCACGCCCCCCCGACAATTTCACTTCGGGTGTGAAAATGAAAAAGAGGAAAAATAATTTCGGGTGGGCATTCAGCCACTGACACAGTAACTATCGGCTATCAGATCTGTTAACTCCATTCTCTTCTGCTACCGGTTTTTAATTGTTATTGGGGTAATTGTTGGTGTGTTCAGGGAGTTGTGGGTAAAGTGTTGTGCTGTGGTTTTTTTTGAGATGTCGCGAGAGGATCAGAGTGGCTCGAAGGAGAAAATCGAGGGGCGAAAATCAGCGGCTTTTAGTATCGAGAGATTATTGGCTCCCAATCATGACCCGCCGGTCGATCAGTCATCGATTTTCCAAGGGAAATTCAAATCTTCGGCGGATGAATGTGAGAATTATAATATTATTACTCTCCTCATATTTATCCATTCTAAAAATTCAACTGCAATCGGAGATTTTATTTTTCTTCATCTATCCTAAGATAAAAAACCTGTTTGATTTAATTTCTACAATTTCTACAATAAAAAAAAAACCGTAAAATTCCCTGAATTTTTCAAATTGAAATGATAAAAATTGGGAAAGCCACTTTTCACTTGCGTTTTTATCTTTTTCATTTGCGTTTTTTTTATAATTATAATTCCTTCCAGTTTACCATCATGAAAGGACATTAACAGTAATTGCAGACTCTTCAATGTCCTCGACAGACGAAATGGAGAGCCTTGAGGAGGGAAATACCGTGGGTTCCACAACCCCCGAACCGGAAATCAGCTACGGTAAGTGCAACGATTGTCGACATGAGCCAATAAATTCAGCAATTCCCTTGTACTCGGATAATTATCACTCTTAATATGATACTCTTCAACTCCCTTTTCTTCAAGTACAAGTGTGCACCCAACTTGCGTGGACTACTTGCCCTCCACGAGTTTGATCCATTGCTTCCTGCAAGGATCCACGCCCACTCAATGTTCTCGGTTTTACGTCCACTATTTATCTGTCTACTGCTAATTCTGCCATGAAAATTACCGGCAAAATGCTTTATCCGAATTATTAATCCCCTGTAACCCCCTCAATCAATTGCAGACAAAAAATCAGGATCCAAATTCATTATTTATATTTTTTATACATCACATTATAAATATTGCAATGAAAAATGCAAAAATTGAGAGCTAATTGCCGAGTTGACTATTTGCATCTCGTCTTCAGCAAGAAATACTACGAGGGGCATAAAGTACTAATTTATCTCTAGGGAGGTACCCGCCCCTCGAATTTCCATCCATCGAACGACGTACGAACGATAAATATATTACACATAAAAAATTCCGAGGGGTTCAACTGGAATTTACCCGGCAAACTACAAAGCCATTTAAAAAATCCACAATACCCCAACACTCGTTTCCCTCGTTCTCCTTACGCCTTAATTAGTCAAGGTAGCGCGCAGTTACAATTCACTTATATCTTCATTAAAACCGCGTTTGATTCTCGTGATAATAAATTACCCCTAATATGACTCTAGTTTCGAAATAGACAGGCGGTAAATTAGTATCTTAGTTTTATCGTGGTCACTCGATCTCCGAGACTAACCGTGACGGCATTCATCAGCGAATAATTAGGAGACAAGTTTAGTGTGAGCTCAACGGCAATTAGACCAACTAGGAGGCGTGGTGTTGATGCTATTCCTGAGATGCAAGCATCAAGCGCGTGCTCTTTGCTTTTTTTTTTTTCCATTTTTTTTTCTCAGCCTTCCAGATTTTTTTGTGATGGAGCTTTCGGGTCTGGTGAAAGCCTCAGCCGCCTCGCGGCGATGACTTCCACGTCCGGAAGTCATTGGTGAAAGTGATGGGTAATGACTCCATTGCTGAAGACATCCCTGATAATCCCGTTCCCTAGGTCAATGGCTGGACAATTCGACTGACATTTTTTATTGGCGATGGATTATTAGGATGAATAATATTTTCATGTCTTGCTGGGGCACATGGAAATGGTTTTTCTATCGCATCCATTGTTACATAATTATAATTATATCATTTGTATTATTCCAATTGCATCTGAATGTGGATTAATGAAAAATGGAGACACTTCAGCCTTTACTAATTCGAAGAACAAAAATAAATCCGATAATTAAGTTCCCATATGACAATTAGTAGCTGGTAAACGTTTCTTCTCGGTCGTGTACGGGAATTCCCACAGCTACAAATAGTTTTTCGGGATATTTATTGCGCTAAGAAGTGTCGAGGGCAAGTGAACTACACCTTCAAGACGCCCAGGAATTTTCGCTCTAGACTTCGTTCTTCAAAATTTGTCACTCCCAAAAAAAAATTCCCATTCGACCATTAAAAATATTCTATTACGCGAAAAAATATTCCCCATCATCTCATCTCTTTTCCCTCCAAATTTTGAATTCAGACAAAAAATTTGTGATTCAATTCCAAAATTTTTCCAGCGAGTGATAAATTTTTCTCCTTTTCGAGTTTGAGGTCCACGTGTCATCGCATGTTCAAACCACGGAAAAAATTGAGGAGCCGTCGTTTTTCTCTCAGCTCGATGATTAATGGGCGGATAATTAGAAGATGATACCCGTCGCTTAGAAGCTCTCCCCTCGTTCTTCTCATTTTCAACGTAACTAAAAGGGGCACTTGGGACATTTCTCATTCCGCAGTTTCTGTGGCGCGACGTCTTCTACACGCTGTAACTGCCTGTGTCAGATAAATATAAATATAAACAACTGTCGTAAGTGAGAAAACAAACCATGAGGGATTCATAAAAAATTATCCGCCTACCCGGATTGAAGAATTCGCCGAGTAATTGGAGTTGTGTCTTCTTTTAATTGTCTCGCACTTTTTCAGTCTCTCTTAATCTCTCAAAGCAAAAATCAAAATCGCTATTATTTTCTGCGATTACTTGATTAATAAATTATATAATAATCCAATTTAATGAATTCCCTCTCCCGGATATTCAGAGAGAAATTATATGATGATTCATTGAAAAAAATGAATTTATCGTGGAGATATCCCGATTTTGCCTGGAGAAACGTAAAATTCAATGACAAATTGGATTGAATATATTTCAGAAGCCTGCACCAGCAGCAGCAGTGGAAATTACCCTGGTGAAATGGATAGCAGTGACAAAGACATCCAGGGATGTTCCAGCGTGACCAGCGACGACGACAGAAAGAAACGACCGCGTACAGCTTTTACAGCGGCACAAATAAAATCCCTTGAGTCGGAATTCGAGAGAAATAAATATCTCAGCGTTGCAAAGCGATTGCAGCTCAGCAAAAGCCTCAAGCTCACAGAAACACAGGTAAATAATCCATCATCAATCATCAGCTATTTCTGAATTCAATGGAGAATGGGATTTGTCTGGCGAATCGAGTCCTCATGATGCAGAGTGATTTCAAAAAAATTGCAGACACTCAATGGCGACAGGCAGAGAGGAAAGTGTCTCGCCTGCACATGATGTCGTTCTCCTAATTATCCTAATGTTATAGAAACCCGTTAAAAAAACACGTTATCGGAAGTCCGGCGCCACTAATTTGCGTACATACATTTACATATGAGGGCATGTATCAAAATTTTGGGTTTGCTTGAGCGTCTTGACTTTATTTATAATAGGATTACGGAATTGAGTGTCATTACAAAATAATTCAACAGGCATGATAAAAAAAAAATGGGGAAAATGATAAATCTGGGTCAAGCATCTGGAAAATGCGGGGAATGTGTAAAATATTGTGGTAATTTACATGACTATGTACTATGATGAATGACGATCCCAAGGGGAGGAAATGATTTGGAAAAATTATTGGTTCACATAGGAAGTGCCTGATGGCCATCGATAAATCGAGAGTGACGCTTCCCCACTGTCACGATTTAGCACCTGAACAAGTGGATTTTTTTTTTCCTCGTTTTTTGGGGGTTCACGGGGTCAAGTCCTGGGTTTTGAGTTATGGTTTTGTGAACATTTGCCACATGTGGAGGCGCCAGCCCGTGGCGCCGGTGGTGTTAGGGTCGATGTACACTGGCAATTAGCACCTAAACACCTAAAAAAAATTCATTAACATTTTTTTCATGAAAAATCCCACCAGATGTACCGATTCACCCGCAAAATTTCATGTCAATTTCATGTAATATTTTATAATTCGCGAATTCTCTCATTGCGCTGATTTTATGAATATAATTTTTTCATTTCAATAAATTCGATGTAATTATTTATTTAATTTGATATCGCTAATTCTGGAGAAAATGGATAGTTGTCAGAAATAATTTTTTTTATCATCTTTTTTGTTTTTGATACGTTCGGCAGTTGTAAATGTCACGGATAATTGGGCGGAGATGGAATTGTCAGGGAAAAGTTCGGGATAATTGTCTCGAATCCGTCGGGTATAGAGAAGTCCCGGGGACATGCGGTATTACGACAGATCAGAGGGATGTGCGAGGGACTGAGTCGTGCTGCTAACATAAATGTCACAATATTTCTCAGAGTTAACGAGCCAAGTTTGCCTCTTACGCTCATTCACTCTATTCCTCATCACCACGGGCTATTCCCGCTTTCGAATTAAATTAAAAGTTTGTACCGAGTATTAAAATAACAGGGTCAAAATATTGAAGAAAATTCAGAAATAAAAATGATCAGCGAGGGGGTAAATCAGGATAAATCCAAGATTTTTTGGTATTTATTATTGCTAATTTCAAGCGATTTTTATAAAGATGGAGGGTTTTCGCAGTCATAGCCTCGGTAGCGCAGCAGGCAGCGCGTAAGTCTCATAATCTTAAGGTCGTGAGTTCGATCCTCACCCGGGGCATTTTTTTTTCATTATTTCACAATGGTATTATAATAGAAGAGAGCATTTTTTATTTGTATATTGATTCACACACATTTGCTACATGAATTTGTATATAAAATATAAAAACGACAGGTTCGATGTGATTATTATTTCATGCTAAACGATATTGCCTTATGATTTATGATAATTCATGATTCCCTTAATTTTGATTTCAGATAAAAATCTGGTTTCAGAACAGGAGAACGAAATGGAAGCGGAAGTACACGAATGATGTGGAATTATTAGCGCAACAGTACTATTCCAGCCTCGGAATTCCAGCTCCTAGACCGATTTTCGTTGGTGATCGTCTGTGGTACGTTTTGCAATAAATATTTGGGAATTAATAAACCTTTTATTTTTATTTATAAAGCAATACGAATGATATGATTATAATTATGCAACGATCGGTATAATAGAAAAAGATTTTCATGTGTTGGGAAAATTTCACCATGAAATGGGAGCATTAAAAAAAAATGTCAGTGATATTATATACGTTGAATATTTAAATGTTGCAGGTTCTTCAATTATCCTGGCCAACCCCAACCAGCTGCACCTCCTCTTCTACCTCCACACATGGGACATCTGTCCCTGCCCCCTGGACTACCAATTGTCCAGCCACTGACCAGCAACTTATCACCAGGAACTCAACACTCTGTTTTTCCCAATATTTCACCATCCCACTCTCTTCATCCTCTCACCCAGAGAATTCACTTCAGAAGACAAGATACGTGAGAAATGGTAAAAATAAAGAGAGAAAAAAATAAGATAAGGCATTTTATAATTGCATTTCAAGTGAATCACCACTGCCAAATGATAAATAAATATATGCAGAAATGATCTGGTAACAAAAGGCTTTATGAAGTTAGGAGTAATAAATTCTCAAGTTAAATCAATTAGTTCATGCACAACCGGAGGCTATAGAGACGGGGAACCCAGTCCTCTGACACCGAGAGTCTTCTCGTCCTGGGCAGCCTGCTCCTGGACTATTTTCGCATACTTCTCATTATCATGCATGTCCTCCTCGTCCAGCATCTCTTGCATTCGCCGCTTATAGATCTCACTGTCAGGGTTATTCTCCTGATTTCTGCATTTCTCTAATTTTTTCTCAAGGGATTTCACGATTTCTTTCGCTGGCACGTCGATCAATGTCCTCGCCATCGTCCTGATTTCTGTCACCAGGGAAAATATTAAACATTATATCAACATTTTATTATTGATTTAAAATGAGTTTCTCACTTCGAACAGCTTCGATTATTCCTGCGAGGTGCTCTCGGGAAAATAAGATATCAGTCACGTAATTATCCAAATTGGCTGATATTTTTGAAGCTGCATGCAGAATAGCTGCCAGAGCTATCTGACTCGGAGCGTAGAGAAGGACCGAGTCAGTGAGAAATACTTTCTCCAGGAAATCGTCGATGTGTGGCCTGAGTCGTTCTGGATTTTCCAGGGCTGTGCAACGAGTCTGAAACAATAAATCAATTACAGTGTAATAATTTATGAAATTTATTTTTAACTGAAATATTTTTCCTTGACTCTCGTAAATTAATCGCCTTTTTCACACCTTTATGTCGATCATGAGACCCTCCACAGGTCTGAACGGATTGTGAACCGTTAAATTGTAATTCAATTGTTGCATTAGGAGTAATTCATTATTTAGAACAATATCTGAAGCCTTTTCTCTGTCGCCTTTCAAGTTCGCGACGAATTGAGAGATTGAGACATTGAATTCTTCCACCTGAGAAAAAAAAATTCAATAATTATTATGGAATTTAATAAATGAAATTTTCTTCACACCTTTGCCGCGAGGTAAACACATGTGACGAGGATCTCCTTGGGATGATAATCCATCACACTGTTCCTCAGGTAAAATCTTTTGAAATAATGAAGAGCAGTGGCTATTGTTGCTCTTGGCATCGGGGGTGAAAATCTCTTGCAAAAATCTCGAAGTTGTAATTCGTAAAATCGCACGAGTGCCCTTTCCTCACTGTCTGATAAAAAAAACTGCTCTCGTTGTTCTTTCTTTAATTCAACAACAAATTAATTAATTGACGATCAAAGAAAAATAAGATCCTGACAAAAGATAACCTTTTTTAAAAGAACAATAAATTTTTATTGCAAAGATGTCGTAGGGATTTGAAAGAAACGCTGCGCATGAATTAATTGAGGTAAAAGAAAATTAATCACTGGATGAATCAACAAATTGGACAATTGCATTGTTTTTTTTTCTGTTTACATACTTGCATGTGAGATCCATATTTTTTTATAAATTGCGCGTTCGTTTCTTCTCTCAGGGTTGTGAGGTCACTTTCATCTGAGTACATCCAGTGTTTCCTCTGAGTACTTGAGGCAAACATTGTTATTTCAATCCACAGAAATTAATTGTTGTTACTTATTCACTTGGGTAAATAAAAAATCCGCGAAATCCCGGGACCGCACCAGGAGGACATCGAGAATTCCTCGGGGAAGGGCTTCGTCAATCAGCTGATAGATTGCGCCACGTCAGAAAGTTCGGGATAAAGTGGAAATATTCGTCGGTAAGATTACTTCCGCAGGAATTTTAATATTTATTTAATTTATTGTTTTATAATCATTAAATAATCCACATCATCTTCTAAAAATTTAATCCAATGAAAACACCGAAAAATAAAATAAGAGAAATAAAATTAATTATAAATTGAATAATTATTATGAAAAATGGATAAATAAATGGGATTTTCACGTGAAATACTCGGAAAATAAAAAATGTAATGAATAAATATTTATTCTATCACGAATTGTCAATTCATAGCTGCAAAGACTAATGGAAGATCGACACCGGGAAATATTGATATCCCCGGTAATAAAACTTCTACCCCTCATTAATAAATAATCCATCCAAAAGCTATTACAAAGTGTGCAAGTTCCGACTGAACAATGAGTCGATTTTTATTGTCAATATTTAATAAAAATAAGTAGCCATGGAGTATTGATGGGAGTGCTGCCGGGTATTAAACATATGCACAAGAGTCATAAACAACTTTCAATGGGGGTAGGGCAATTTGAATAATTGCGCCTCGAGCCCCAAAAAACGAGTTGGCCACCAAAAAAAAAAATATTAATCACCTAAAAATAATAAATAATAAATATTCATATAAAATTTCGTTATCACCACAAATAAATTAATAGAAATGATTGAAGTAAATGAGATATATTTTTTTTTTCTGAATGATATCCTAAATATATTCAACACATATATTTTGGATATATGATGTGACCTGTCAGATATATCTGGATATATATTTTCTTCATGTGAATGGAGAATGTGTCATCCAGCTCTTGTGGAATTTTTCTCCATGAAATACGGATTCCGGGTACATGTGCTGGGGTAATAAACAAGATCCTCGGGCGATGAATGAACGGAGCTAGAGGAAAGTTCCAGAGGAAGAGTAGAGGATAGAGGTAAGGGTGGATTAATATGGACGCCCTCACAAGCGGTTGCCCTGTCTGATCTCGATGGGCGTTTCTACGGCCCTTTGTCAACCGACAACCGACGCCGCATTTTCCCTTATCGCGATCATGTTTGTTTCCATTTTTTATTTTCTCTTCCCATGACTTTTTCAAAATTTTTAACGAATTAAAAAAAATATATTCTCGCCAAAATAAATTATTCATTAATATTATCATGACATTACATGAGTCGTAGATAATTCATTACATATTGTAAATTTTGATAAAAAAATTGCAGAGACTGTCGGTTGGGAAAAAGATGAAGAATTTTTGAAATTCACCTAGAGGAGTTGGGTTGATCAGAGAAAGGCGGAATAGAGTGCCTTCGGCCGATCGATTCCGTAGGTACGGGCCTTATAATTATAATATACTTACGGGCGTATTACATTAGCATAAGACTACCGAATGCCCTGGATGTGGGGTAGTGAAGTGAGATAAGAAGATCAGAAATCCATCGTCGAGGTTGTTTATGGCATATCGTGTCCGGTTACTCCTTGCCACCTCTCGATTATTCAGCATTAGAATATATCGGACGACATGAATAAATATCTCCCGAGTAAAATATCTGCGAAAATTGCTCCACCATTTTTTTTAGCAAAATTCCCGGAATTATTTGGTCTAGAATCCATTTCAGGCGTTCGTTAATTCGCGGCAAGTGAAAATTCATTGGAATTTTTATTGTTATTATTGATTATGGTTGATGATAGTTGTTATTTAATTCGTGGTGGTTTGAAGAATTGATATTCTTTAGTGGATGTGTTTTTTTTTTTTTCAATTATTCTTCGGGAAGTGCGTCAGTCATTAATTCAATATTGCGGTTGACTTGGCCCTCGGGTTCGCGTGCTTGCACCCTTTCTCGACCCCTTTTTTGTAGACGAATCAGGAATAAAGGGTGAGAGAGTCATCAATATGGGGCGGGTTAATGTGAAATCAATGTTTGAGTCAAGGTGTGTTTGCCAAGGCTAATAAACCGAAAAACAGTAACCAAAAAATTTAATTGAAACTTGAAAAAAATTGACAATTCCAGCTCCAGAATTCCGAAGTGAATTCCAAATATCTCCGAATCTAAAAGAGATATAAAAATTTCATAATAACCTTTTCCCCAGCTCCAATTACACTCTACAAAAAAGGTCCTACGGAAAATCTCTCTATATCCCTGATATTCGGAGATATTCAGCAAAAACTCACCTGGCATTCGTTTTATTGTCATTTATAAGAGTTCAGTCCTGACTATTTCAGCGGAATTTCTCTCGTATAATTTTTTACACATCGCACACCGCAATGTATTCGCGGAAGGCAGGGAAAGGCCTCTCTAAACTCAAAAAAAAAAAGATGACCCATGCGATACCAAAGTTAGAAGTCGGAACGGTAACGCGTTTTCGAACGTTTCGCAGAAAACATCGTGCACTCGCGTGTCCACACCTTGTGTTTCGTGCCTTTTTCTCTTCAGCTGCGGGAAAGAAGAGGAAAATCCGAGGGTGAGAGAGAGCGACTGAAAAAAAAATTTAACAAACGGAAATAAAAGGAGGAGAGGCAAAACGTGAGACCATGAAGCCCGATAGTCAAACCTATGGAGGCACTTTTTGGTGTATCACGTGTCACAGTTGGCGTGTGTAATTCAACTGCACAACCCTTATTTCATGTGATCATCACGGGAAAAGTGTTAAAACCCTTCTCTTCGGGGGAGGAAATTAGCCCCGAGAATTTGTCTGGATGGGAGTCAATGGATTGCATCAATTCATTTTACATTTTACATTTCAATACACGTGAGACGATTTCCACTCGATTTCTGGATCGGGAAGATAAATTAATTTATTTTTATACCGAGGAGATCCAGTAATCATATTTTTCCCGCGTGCTGTAGTCGATTTTGGAATTAATTCCTGAATTAAGAGAAAATCTGGACTTCAATCCCCTAAAATTGGAGACTTCTCCTGGAATGTAATTGTCATGGTATTTCATGTCAACCGGTCGTATATTTCGCGATAAACCAGAAGTCGTGTGCCGTCGGTATCGGGAGTATCGGCTGTGACCCGGGCGCCGACACACGCGTCTTTTATTACTCCACAAACCGATTGTTTACATATAATATAATATTTTCGGCCTGAAAAATCGGCAAGACTCAAAATGGCGATATCCGCAGAAAAAAGACAACACAATTCCGAATAAAAAGATAATTTCGCAAGTGAAATTCAAATCGAACTGAAATCCGATGAATCGAGTCGCGAATCGGCAAAAATTCAACCGAAAAAAAAAATTCCTCGAAATTTCAAGAATTTGAGTTCCTCCCCCGAGTGAATTTCGCCCGGGGTCTTACTGTGCCCCGAAATCTCTTAGTAGCTAAAACAGAGATCCAGGGGGCGCGAATGGGAATCCGGAGAAAAGGGGGACAAAGCCCAGGGCTGAAAAAGGGATAAGATTTTTCGCGAGAGAGAGGAGACAGACACGAGGGGTTGTACTACACGCCACATATAATTACAGACAAGAAGAGAGCAGTGGCTAGACGCGAAACCCGCTGAATGGCCTTAGGGCACACCAGGTTACTCAAAATCCACTGCCCCCTTTTGCCCCCTTTTGCCCCCTCTTGGCCCATTCTGGCCCCATGAGCCCCCGCACCTCATTCGTATTCGCGCCCCGGGTGAATATTGCCGATATGCCGTCTTTTTCCCCTTTCGTGAGTGGTTTTTTTATTTTTTTTTTATCCTTTATTCTTCGGTTAACGTCTACCGTTCGAGATATCCTCGAAGGACGAATGAGGCCTCGAGGTATCGACGGTGCCACGGAGACGATGACGAACGCCTAGGCGATATATATCGCCAACTTCATACAGAACTGGGTCATCAGATTCCTTGTGATTTACGAGGAAATATCAATTTTTCAGGTGAATATCGAAAAGTCGATGGAATTAATAATTCGGAGAAAGAAATATTTCAGGCATTCGCCTGCAGAGGAAACTTGGTGTTTTGCTGTGTGAAAAGCGGGAGGAAAAGTGAATACTTTCTGCCCTAGGGTGAATACTCGGACTGAATATTCGGATGAAGCTCTTCGCCGTAGCTAATTCTCCAGTGAAATCTCGATTTCAGGTACAATTATTGAACTAAGTACAGCATGAATAAAGAGTTGAAGCACACGCTCCGCCCCCCGCAAGTCTTTCCCCACGGGCCCCCTCCCCCCTTTTTCCCCTGCCCCATGATCCCTCGCCATCACACTCAAAGCCCAAGTGGGGGCCCTCCTCTAAATTACCACAATTTTGTACTTTTTATCCGCCATCCGAGCCCCATGAGTTGAAGCAAGACAACAGTACCCACATCCATGAAAACCACTCTTTAGAATGAAAGAAAAAAAAAAAGTTGAAAAAAGAAAAAAGTAAAACAACGAGACAAACTGCACTAACGCGAAGGGATAATTTTTGGTGGAAACGCAACAATTTTATCGGCCGTTGTTATGTGAGATCAGTTGGTGCCTACTGCCGACACGCGTTACACCTGCCTCAGTGCTCCGTTGAAAATTAATGTTTTTTCAATGTTCAAATGGCCTGAATATTTGTTTTGACTATTTTTTTTTTTTGGTGATGTTTTACCGACGGAACGCCGCCATTTTGGTGCCCCCAGGCGTCCCACCACTCAAAAGAAAGTGTACCCCTGTGACATTGAAATCCCCCCACCATTTTGGAGAATATGAAAAAAATATTTACTCGCGCAATCGCATGGCCAAAAAAGTGATCTGAAATGATTTCTCAAAAAACGGAATATCAGTAGAAAAATATTAAAAAATAATAGAAGTAACCGATTTTTTTTGTATATTCTCCCACGGGAGTCGCCCTACCCCACCTTTCACCGGAAAAACAGTGAAATTACGGTTCGATTTAATTAGTACTTCTGTGATTTATCGTATTATTTTTATGACAAACGACTCGTCGTCTGAGAATGCGTTTTAATTGGTAGCTGCTGGGTATTAAACGAAAAGA